GAACATGTAGCATTTGTGAAATGGGGGGGGGGGGGGCGACGCAAAAAACAGCAGTCAGTCTAACACCAGAAAAGTTAGTTATTGCCTGTGCCACAAAAACAAAGATACTGCGGCTGACTGTACTTGTCCCATAGTGACGTGATGGGGAACGAACGATTAAGCGAACTAGCTAACGCGGCAGACCCAGAGGCAGAGGCCCCTGAGGTAATCACTGTCTTACCAGCCCGTCGTACACCGCCACACCACGCCGCCATACCCGTTGAACATGTACACTGATGTTGCCTGCGCCTTCAGTCAGCATCTTCCGCCACAAAACATCCACTTGATACACCGAGAGGCCCATGGGGCATTCACTCCAGTCAGGGATGTGCTGCGTCCGATGCTGCTAAATTTTGATCAAGCATTTGATGTTGAGGAATTATCCCGCTTGTCTCGTAATTTCACTGTCGCTTTACGGCACATATGAAGTTGAAATGCGCCGTAAAGCGACAGTGAAATTACGAGACAAGCCCCTCCCCCCAAAAAATGTTTTGACCTCAGTGGGTTTGAAAGAAACACCAGGATGCTGCATGCACGGGCGGTAGACTCTACACGGTGGGAAACATCTTCCAAATGCAGCTGTACTGGCCGTTGGTCTGTGGCGGTGCACTGCGGATGAAACGATCGACTCTGTACGATGTCTACATTTGTGTTCAGTTTCCAGGACACGCTCAATGCGTCTTGAGAAAGGCATGCAGTGATGTGCTGAATGGAGTGCTACCCAAGCGGGACAAAAAAACAAAGCTTGGGATCGTCAAGCGCCTCTTTCTGCAACGTTGTACAATGGTGTTTTGAGGATGATCCCCTCAGCATTCTAATCGTGAATTGATTGACTTGACGACTTTTCTGCGACATAAAAGGAAATTGCAATTTTTTGGTCATATTGTTCGTTCCGGCTGTTTGTCATTGACTGTTCCTCAGGGTTGTGGTGCTGGAGGTCGTGGCCGTGGCAGGCCCAGAATGTCATGGCTTGATTATATTATTTCAAGGACTGCACTTGACGTGCAGTCCCTGCTCGCTGCTGCACGCGATCGGTTTTTATGGCGCTCGCTTGTTCATACTTGCTCTGTGACGCCCCGACGGCCTTAGGGCTATGGGCTTGTGATGATGATGATGTATTCAAGTGTTCAGTTCGCCGGCAGATTTGCTCTGCGCCACTCCTTCTGTGCAACCATTCTATGTAGTTTTCCGTCATAACGTCCAACCTTCTGGCCCTACGTCATCTAGTCTCTGCCACACTCGACAGGGGTTGCGTCCTCAAGCACGAACTGACCTCACTCCTGGGTCAACTTACATTGAATTCTCAACTGTAAATAATTCCTACGCCACCTGTCTGACCTTGTCAAGGCCACATCTGAGATATCATCTCACAGAATGCTGCACCGCTCAACCTCAGCCAAGGATGACCTGAGCTAGAGGCACCAGACTCTGTCAACATATTGAAGGTTGACACAAGCCATTCGAGTCTGAGTCTAAGTCCCAGTGTGTGTAGGGGGGGGGGGGGGGGAGGTCACATACGTGTGTGTATGTGTGTGATTGCTTGTGTGTGTGTGTGTGTGTGTATGTGTATGTGCATGTGTAAGTGTGCGTGTGTGTTCTTGTGTGTGTGTGCTTGTCTGCGTGTGTGTGTTTCTTTGTGTGTGTGTGTGTGTATGTGTGTGTATATGTGTGTGTGTGTGCGTGTGTGCGTGTGTGTGCATGTGTGTGTGTGTGGGGGGGGGGGGGTGTTTGTGTGGGTGTGGGTGTGGGTGTGTGGGTGTGCATGTGTGCATGTGTGTGTGTGTGTGTGTTTGTGTGTGTGTGTGTGTGTCTGTGTGTGTGCGTGTGTGTGTGTGTGTATGCGTGCTTGTATGTGTAATAATAAGATAAGTCTGGTTAAAAGACTTTTTATATCCCATAGATTATCTACTATAAATGAGGGAGGACCTTTACATAGTGTTAGGTACCTCCTCCCGTACAGTCTACCTTTTTCCCTAGCTGGACTGCATGAACCATATGAACCCCGTACTCACCTTTTGTTCCGTTGGCCTGGGTAGCTACTTGCGCGCCCATATTGCCATAGCTACCCAGGCCCTTCATAGTCTCTTGTTGTCTCAGTCTCTGGCTCTCTCTCTCTCTCTCATAATGATTGTAGTTGTTGTAGTTCGTCTTTGTCTCCGTCTCATCGTCAATAATAAATGTTTTCCCCTACTCGTTCCCGTTGTCCGTTGAGTTGTGTCTGGGATGATGGATTCTTCAGTTGAAACTCAACAAGTATGGAACTCTTGAAGGGCATAGTCATCACAGTGTAGGGTTTTAAATACATTTCGTTTTCATGCAGGTTTTCACTACTGATGGAAACTTCATTGCCATGTTCGGATCATGGGGAGAGTCAGATGGTCAGTTCAAGAAACCTCGGTGCATTGCCGAGGACAATCATGGCCACTTCCTGGTCACTGATGCTGATAACCACCGTGTTCAAGTAAGCTGATTAGTGATTAGTTTGTCTAACCCTTTTGCTTCTAGCACTACTTCTGTTGCCAAGATACATCATACCCTGTGGCAAGAGTGTGAAGCTGTAATTGCAATGCCTTTGGCCATTTTAGATTGAGAAGTCTCACCATGTGCTAGACTGGCTAGATGAAAACCTTCTAACTTACTGAGGTGGATTGATGACACTCGAGCCATTGCTGAGTGAAATACATTCACTTGCAGTGTGGATATTGTGACAATTAGAAACAAGAAACCAGTGATATTGTCTCTTTTGGGCCAGGTTGAACACTTTCTCATCGCCCTTCGTACATATCCAGGGGGTTATAGTGAACAAAAACAGCGAAATGAAAGTAATCTCCGGCGGAAAGCGGAGAACATCTTCAGCCAATCCTGGACTGTGTGCACAATGACCCCTGTTGCATGTGCACGAATACATCACATAGCTGCAGTAGCTGTGGACCACGTTATGTGAGCTATGCCATCAAGGACCGTGTCTATAAAGTTGTGCACTCTTGGGTGGATTTAAGAGCTATTGGGTGGGTAAGAGCTCTTGGGTACCTAAGCACTCCAGGGTGGGGTTTATTTCACCTTTTTTTCTTCTTTTTTAAAATCGACGCACTCTTTCAGGTTTACTCTTGCTTCCACTTCTTTTGAAGTATTGGTATTGCCACGGCTACCAGCATTACCATGTTTGCTTCTGTGTCCACCAATTTGCATAAAACTATTGATTTCCTGTGTGCAATGTGATATCAGGAGCCGTGCATAACACTCTAGAGCCTACACTACTCATAGACGTGCTTCCTCCGCCAGGTAAAATTTTCGCTTATCCCTTTCAGCACACTGACAGGTGTCTGGCAGCTATTTTTGTTATATCTTATACACTGCACCATCCACAGAAATCTGCTGGTATACAATCCCTTCAGGCGTACCAGTTCCAAACAAGTCAACGAAGTCGGCAAAGAGTAAAAAAACATCTAGAGTAGAGGGTGTGAAGGTTAGTGAACTGGTCAAAGAACACAAAATCAGTGACTGTACATGGTGGGTGAAAAATCACAAGGCGGTACCCTGAATTACCACAGGTCTCTAACCTGAAAAAACCACAGGGATTGAACCTGAAAACCCACAGGAATCGAACCTGAATAACACGGAACTCATATTACATCCGTTCGCAAAACCGAAAACCGGAAAAAAACTGTCAGGCACCGACTGGGACGCACAAGGGCCAACCAGCAACACACGGAAACCATAACACTCGCAAGGCAAACCGATACAAACAAGCGCAGGATCCCTGCAGATGATCAGGCAAACCGTGGCTCACCATGATCAGACGCCCACCCAAACGAACTAGAGAGACCCACATGCCGAAACACAATATTACAAAACCATACGCTCACACAAAATTCAACCTGGATCTAAAACGAGAATCCTACATGAACTTAACAACCTGTAGTGAACGATGCACTGATTCCAATGATGAAAGCCCCGCATTGATTGGAGCAACCGTTCCGGAGTTATAGCATCTTCAAGTTTTGGCAAAATTCTGTGACCCCATGATGACGTCATGATTTGCCCATCCCTGTGACGTCAAAGATATACGGTAGAACGGGTAATTTCAGCGACGTTAAAACCCTAGCGAATTTAGCGATCGACTCTTTTTCGCTAAAGTTAAAAGTCGCTAATCCGTTGAGACATTTAGTAGTGCACTGGTGATCCGAGAGTAAAATCGCTGCAAATCGCTAAAATAAAACGTCGCTAACCGGCTGACAATAGGAAAACGCTAAAATTGATATTCGCTAAAAATTACCCGTTCTACAGTAAACTTTGTGTGGTAATAGATGGTGAAATAGCATTGGCAATTTATGTCGTTTTTCGTTGCTGCAACAAGCTTTCTGGGGATATGTTTCCAGTTTAGATACCAGTAAGGTGTCATATATCCCATATCAAATTTTGACAAATCAGTTTATCTCAATGACGTCCTGAATTATGATGTCATCATGACGTCATCGAATTTAGTCTAAACTTCCAGATGCTATAACTCCAGAGCGGTTGCTCAGATCAACCTCGGACTTTCGCCATTGGAATCAGTGGATGTCAGTATTGCTCCTGGAAGGTGAGAACAAGCGTCTAGGAGTTTCGATCATTCACAACGCTGTCAAGTCCGAACAAAGCTAGTCAAAGGCTTTCACTGGGTATATCAGTACGAAATAGTGTTAGCAACTTCGGCAATTATAGTGCAAGAAAGTTGGTTTTAAGCCCAGCACAGCCTTGTAACTACATCATTATTAATGTGACCATTCCGTAAAAAGTGACATACATGTCACAGGTTGCACGGGTGCAAAACAAGATTAAATCGTATTCATTTTGAAAGGATCGGGAGAACTTCAAAGTCAAAAGATCAGTCGGGGAAGTGAGCTGTCGGAAAAGAGAGAAAATGCAAGACCCACCAGGACTCGAACCCGGGACCAGCTTGCCTCTCATGAGCCAATCTTATTCAAATGAATTATTGGTGGGAGTTTGCCATTGAAATTTAAGAGGGACTGTTTGGTGCTTGATCCTGTCGCTGATCCCGAGACCCATAGTCGGGGGAAGTAGGCCCAATTGACCAGCACGCTGCCCCGGCTTCCCACTGTATTGTCATGTCTCCTCTTTGGTTCTGTCTTCCATTCCGTCTCTGCTGGACTGTGTATTTCAGTATCAAAATATATAAATAACCTGTCACGTAAAGATTCTTAGCCTTGTTTTTTGGATGATTGAAAATGTTGTTGTATCGAAGGTTGCAGTGCTGCACACGTGGCTCTGAAACGAAAGACAAGGGGTGCTTGTCACCTGCGTCTTTAGCCGATTCATCGTTATCAGAAGAATTACCTTCACCTAGTTACGGTTCTTCTTCACTCGGGTTGGTTTTGTGATCGCCGACCCAAGTTGGTCGGTGCTGTTTTCGGCACAAGAGCTCATTTTCGTAATCTTCCCCACATGAAATGGAGCAAGACTATGTACTTACGTACCAAAACATTCCACAAGAATCCTTGTGGAAGAAGTCAAAAAGAAAGTAGCTGTTCAAACAGCTATGTAGCTACACATGGGTCTCTACCTTCTGCACTATGTACCCATGTGTGCAGCTCTGTTGTCCGAGTTTACAAAGCATAAGTGCATCGAACATCGAAGCAGCTACAGTGTAGGTTGATCAACCAGCACACGGGTTTGACTACGTTTTGACGATGAATGTACAAGCGGAGAACAAGTCCAACATGGCATCACACGGTATTTTGCGACAACTGTGGGCACCTTGATTTCAAATCATGAAAGCTGTCACCCAAGGGAAATAATGGCGTTGATAGTTCCTCCATTCCAATTTCATAGTGAGATGGTTACTCTAGTACTGTAAAACCGGAAAGTCTAATGACCAAAATGTTTAGCGTTTTTGTAATTTTGGCATGATAACGTGCAGAAAGTTTAACGATGGCCACCTGGCAACCAAGAATATGTATCGATGTATGCGCATTTTCACACACTGGGTTCGGGATAACATTTCTCCGAATAGCGAATAAAAATTGGTCGTTAGAACATTAGACTTTCCGATTTTACAGTATACTAGTACTCGGATAACCTCAATCTGTGGATAGCATCCTCTGTGGTCCTTTGTGGACTCGTCTACGCAGCAAAGGGAAAATGTGGCCGAACCTGATACATGTAGCAATGAAAAATATGGTCCCAAGCCAGATTTTAATACGGCCCAAAAGCACGTTACCAGAGTGCTCAAATTGACACGTCAGTGAGCTCTGCATCACGCACGCAAACAGCAAAGGCACTATCCCGCACAAAATTGCTCACCTATTACATAAGCAGGAGCAAAATACCAAATATTACAGTGTGTTGGGCTCATCGGAGTCTACGGCTGCATTCGATTGTGGAAACTGGATCCTCCCCCGCCGACCAGATCACTTCGATCACACTGATACAATCGAATGTGCACAACTGATAATCCCTTTCAAGACCTTAGCGACCGAGTTGCTACAGCTCATCCCAGACTATTCTGTGGAATCTGTACGGAATATGGCGAACTCTTGACCTAGTGTGCGCATATTTGGAGTTGTGAGTAGATACGATGCAAATGAATCCGTCGAATCCGTCGAATCCGGCTCGGGGAGGTGGGTTGACTGGATCCGAATCCGTGGGACTGGGATCCGGATTCGTACAATCGAACATGTACGAATTTGGCGAATCCGAGTCCATGGCCCATGGATTCGCACAATCGAACATGCCCTAAGTCGCACCCGCCTTTCCGGGTCCACCATCTGTATTTGCATTGCCATCCGCTGTATAAGCCACCCGCCCGTCAGATTTTGAATGGTTATCATCATAATACAAACAATAGCTAAAAGGCTGAGAAGAATGACCGAAGTTCTACAAAAGTTGTCTACCTTGCCATTTGTATTGTATTAATGTATTGTACTTGGTCCGCGTCAGCAATATCGTCGCTTATCTTTTGACAATTTGTTACTTAGACTTTGGACATCAACGCGTGCACTTGAATTGATAAAACTTGGTACGATGGAAGCTAAGGTATAGAAGGACAACTAGCTATGAGGAATTTATTGTCCAAGGAAGGGTTCCTACTTTTATCGGTCCTTCTCGTCGCTGCTCTCGACGCTAGTGACAAATATGTTTGCTCGGGATCGACTCTCTTGCTTTTGCAAGCTCATCTCTCTTCCTCTCCACTGCCTGGCTATTTTCTAAAGAGATCGTGACGGTCGCCTTCTCTATAGGACTTCGCGTGGGCAGCACGACAGCCTGTGTGGTTCAAATAGGACGCCGTTCTTTGGGTTCTTTGCAAGATTTTATTTTGAACGACGACGACGCGTACAGTACTTGCAAATCTCCACAACGCGCTGGATACTTCAAGTGTTGAGCTGGAGGTGAGGGAGCTGCGATCTCAGCTTCACGAGCGATCCCTGAGGTGAACGATCTCGGCCGTTCAGCAAAATAGAG